CCCTTTTGATGTTCAATTCAATTCAAATTTATTTGTGTAGCGCTTTTCACAATACATATTGTTTCAAAGCAGCTTTACAGAAAGTGCATTTCAGAAATGTAAATGGAGTAAATGGAAAAAATACAGTTAGTTGATCATGTAATAATTTAGGGCATAACATGTCGCCGGCATTGAGTTCTCTTCACAGCCGTTGAGTCGTCTCATCGCAGGTGTTGGGGCATCTGAAGTATCCATGTGTCATTTCTTCATGGAGAAACCTCTGCTTCTGTTCCCCATGACGATAATCTGTCCCTTCTTGACCAATCCTGTCACCCTCAGTGGGCGAAGGGGTTCTCATTGGTTTCACTCTGAACAGTGACACCTGAAAAACTGAAAAGTCATGTCATATTCAATATAAAATATCATGTTCATGTCAGAAAGTGCGATTGGTACATTTGGTCTCAAGTGTTTCTAAAGGTCCTGAAAGGTAAGGTGGTTTCATTTTAAATATCTAATTCTTCATTACCACTGTGATGAAGTCTGGATAACGCCAGACCATGTATCAATGAGAATGAAACGTGGTCTGGAAACCACATGTTGCGCATGCCTCTCGTATTTGAGGCGAGGTTTACGAATGCCCAGAGCTGTATTATTGGGTGCTACGAATGTCTATCAAATGCGCCTGTATGTAGCTCATAGCCAATGGGGTCAATGACACCAGATGATGTATGCAGAGCGACCAGGAAAAAGACGATGGGTTAGAGATTTAGGAGATTTAACGTAAAACTTCTAATAGCCGAGTTCCAAATAGACGCATGTCTCTTTTACACGTCTGGTGTGACTGCAGGTTTGGGTAAATAAAAGCCGGTCTCTATTACCTTTACGGGCGAGAGTTGCATGTGTTGTTCATGTCAAATGTACATGATGGTGTCGATACTGCTGTATCAGTATGAGCCAGAATCAGACCCAGAAAGTGGCGATGAAGAGAGGCAAGCAGAACCTCACCACACACGGTTACAAAACGTTTCTGATATTTTGCCTATATTTTTTTTAAACTTTAAACACGTTTGTTTTACACAAAATAGCATCGGCCTGTCGTGTTCGGTCTCTTGGTTTGTGATAGTGGCTGCTATTGTGAAACTCACCTTCGTCGTGTACTGAGTGTGGATGCATCAAGATCTCGTCCTGAAGAATCGCAGAGTCAAATGATTATATCTCATCTGGTAACAAGAGCATATCCATAACTTTAAGATCCACTGAATTAAAGAATGTCAGTATTTACTTATTGGTTTTACTTATTTACTTATAATTACTTATTGGTCCAAAAAACTACTCACAAAACCTCTCACAATACAACTTTAATATAGACGGATGTCCTGTTACTTTATCCACTACAGTAAAAGACCTGGGTGTTATACTAGACCGCAACTTGTCTTTCGAAAATCATATTTCATATGTTACAAGAACAGCCTTTTTTCACCTTAGAAACATTGCTAAGCTACGTAACATGCTATCTATTTCTGATGCAGAAAAATTTGTTCACGCATTCATGACCTCGAGACTAGATTACTGTAATGCTTTATTAGCCGGTTGTCCTGCATCCTCAATAAACAAGCTACAGTTAGTACAAAATGCAGCTGCTAGAGTTCTTACTAGGTCAAGAAAATATGATCATATAACACCGATTTTATCATCTCTACACTGGTTACCTATTAAGTTCCACATCAACTACAAAATACTGCTACTGACCTATAAAGCCCTAAATGGTTTAGCTCCTATGTACTTAACGGACCTTCTTTCGCCCTACAATCCACCGCGTTCCTTAAGATCACTACATTCAAGGCTTCTGGTCATTCCTAGGATATCGAAGTCCAGTAAAGGAGGGAGGGCGTTCTCGCATTTAGCTCCAAAACTCTGGAATAGCCTTCCCAATACGGTCCGAGGCTCTGACTCGCTGACACAGTTTAAAACTAGATTAAAGACGCATCTCTTTAGTCAAGCATTCACATAATGCTTACCTTTTAGTCCTCTGTTATGCCATACGGAACCGTTTGCCACTGAAACGCATTTCCGCGACAGTGGGGCTCGACAGCCTTAGTCAACGGGTCGGCGCGTATGGTTGGGTTGCGGAGAGTTCAGGTTACGGAGAGTTTGTGAGATAGCGGTTTTCTAACACCGACTCCCTTATAATGGAAATCATTATGAACATCAGCTATGCTAATTATTTCCCATCTGCCTTTCTGCTGTTATCTCGGACGCTTGTCCCGAGAAAAATGGCGTTCGTCAGCTCCAGTTTTGTGTCCAGCCTCTCACGGGGATTTCGGATGCCCCAACGCCTGTGATGAGACGACTCAACGCCTGTGAAGAGACGACTCAACGCCTGTGATATGTTATGGCGCCGTTTTATTCATAAACAATATTTATATTTAATATTTATATATAAACAATATGAATGTAAGCCAGAGGAGAACTGGCCCCCGACTGAGCCTGGGTTCTCCCAATTTTTTTTCTCCATCCAATCTGATGGAGTTTTGGTTCCTTGCCACTGTCGCCTTGCTTTGATCTTGCTCAGTTGCATTATTTAGTGTTTAGCAATGTTGTTGATCCTGTGTTGTACTACTTTCATGTTATCAGTGTGAAGCTGCTTTGATACAATCTGTATTGTGAAAAGCGCTATATAAATAAATGTGACTTGACTATTTATCAGTAAAAAGTACATAAAAACATATTTACCATTTTAATTTGTAATGCTTTCATGTAACTTTATTTTATGAATATATGAAGACTGAGGACAATGTATGTATGTAGCCTAAGTGAATAACTTGCATATGGACTGAAATGCCTTTGATTAATTTATTTTATTTTATATTTATCTGTATTTATTTTGTTTATCGAATTTTGTTCAATTTAACTGTGTTTATGTTATCGTCATGTAGTCGTGTTGTCGAGAGGCCCGGGAGAAGTTAGGAACTGGTACTAAAACAAAAAGAAAAAATGCTGTGTGCAGCAAAAACTGGCACTAAACAATGCCTAGTGGTACATCCACCAAACCATCAGCATGTCTCACCTCAAACATGATCTATCATGATTTTGCACAGTACACATGGGAGGCAACCTCCTCAAACCTTCTTCTGGCTTTCCGGCAGACTAGATGCCTTACGGCATATTGCTGCCTCCCACAGTTCAGTCTCGGTATCGCTTTATATCTCCATCATTTTCATAGGGCTAATCCTGTTGCCGATGTAAAATCCATGACGGTTTCCACAATCCTTAATTAGTTCTCATGAGGATTCAAAATATCTCTCAGGGTCACTGCTTGTAATCCATCTCCTGATATCACAGAATAAAGTTAACCTCCTCAAACCAGATCGAACAATGGTTTAAATACTCAAGTTTCCCGCCAAACACTAGTGGGCCATACCATTGTCACGGGGTGGAACCTTTCCCCGTGACCCTCACTGAATTTCACAGCAAATCATTTTCATACAAATACAACTAATGTTCACGAACTCATTGATCATAATACAAACATGAATCAATAATCATAATACAAACTTTCATAACATATATGACAAACAAACATTTAACACCTCACAGCACTCATGTCTCCCTCCATCTTGGAACATGGTATGTTCTGGCTATGCGCACTACCAGAACCCAAAACAAACGATCATGAATGACAATGACAGAGCAAGGGCTACCGTCCTGTTTTTCTGCTTTTAAGAATTTTTCAGAATACATCCAGCCCCAGTGTTCTCCACTTCAACGGTCATTAATCAGACATCAGGACTTGAGTCCCAAAATAAATGGAGCCTTTCAGTATTTCTAAAAATCTATTTAAAGTCTTTCAAAACTGTTTAACTCATAATTGGAAAGCCATTAAGTACACTTTTGCTCCCAAGCTCATGTAGAATTATTTTTATTTTTTTTAAAAAAAACATTACACATGTTTTTTTTACTAGACATTTTTATTTGTTGAGAAGTCCAAGTACGAAAAAAAAAAAAAGAAAATCTCAGAGGACTCTTTCCAATGGCTAAATCATCAGCACAGGTGGTTGGGCAACACTTCTGTCTGGCAGGACATTGGCCATCATGGATCTACTTCTCAGCAACGCGGTCCCAAACATCTACCAGGTGTCACTGCATGGATACAAATATATACATTTCAGCTTTAGTCTGTGCATTTAGCGTCATTCAATTTAAGAAACAGCACAAAATAGGAACTTTAACTTGGAGAAAGTTGTATTTCAAGTATTATGAATCTTTATTTCGTAAAGCACAATTTTGAATTGGTGCTATGGGCTAAATTCAGGTACTTCGATTTTATCACTCAACGCAAATCTAAAGTAGAAACAAGCGCCCAAATTAGACATTAGTATGCTGCATATCAGATCGTATGAATGATCATACGTTGATGAGTGGCGGCTGTAAACAATCGGTACTTTAATATCACGGCCCTAGACATTCATGGTTTTGAAGCCTCATCTTGAGTTTACGCCACGGAGAAAATGTAACCTGACCAAAGAAGTTATCCTTGCTCAAATCTGTTAACCTCATAGGAAACATTTTACTTATTAAATGTTTACATAATTTATATTTATTCAATACCGGCGAGTAAAACTAAACGTTTACAAACATTAGAAACAATAGCCTAGGTAATTTAAACCCCGTCAACAAATCCTTTAAATTAAACGGTTTTCAAAAAAGGAAAACTAGCTATGAATTAAATTAAACTAGGCTATAAAAAAAAAAAAAAAAAAAACACAAATTAGGCTATGGTGGCTTATATATAAAAAAAAAAAAAAATACCACATTGTAGTCCACATCTAGTGCTGCAGCATTTGTCTTTGCCCGGACAGTCACTGTCAGAGGAGCATGGCTTGTTACACTCTGTAATTGCACGGAGTTTGCTTGGACACACTCCTGGCTTTGGTTTCACTGCGTTTGGATGACATTATATCAATGAATGCATTGATGCATTCAAAAGAAAAGCTGACCCACACACACACTAATATAAATACCTATGATTGGAGCCCAACACTGACGTCCACATGCATTGCTGCAGCATTTCTCAATGGTTGGACAGTCACTGTCATCGTCGCATGAATTCTTACACACATCTCCAAGGGGTATAACTGGACACACTCCTGGCTTTGCTATTTGTAAAACAGGGAAACCAGATTTATGAATGCTGGACGTCTCATTCAACGCATGGGTCAGTTTTTACACAATTACCTTTATATGGAGCCCTACACTGATGCCCACACCCATTACTGCAGCATTTCTCATCTTTCGGACAATCACTGTCTTGGGAACACGCCTCGGAACATTTTCTTTCTGCTTCAGGGATATTGTTTGGACACACTCCTGGCTTTGGTTTATCTGTCAAGTGTTTGTATAACAGCATCAGTGAATGTTAAATGACTTCCTGTATTAGATAAAAACCAGATCCACACACTAATAAAATAAAAAAATACCTTTAAATGGAGCTGAACACGCATGTCCACATCCATTGCTGCAGCATTTCTCATCTTTTGGACAGTCACTGTCAGAGGAACACAACTCGACACAAATTCCTACCGTTCCTGGAGGGAGTTTCGGACACAGTCCTGGCTTTGGTTTATCTGTCAAGTGTTTGTACATCAGTGAATCTTAAAGGACAACCTGTATTAAAAAAATAAAAACCTGATCCACACACTAATGAAATATAGATACCTGTAAATGGCGGTGTACACATGTGTCCACATCCATTACTGCAGCATTTCTCATCATTCGGACATTGACCGTCAGAGAAACATGACTCGACACACGCTCCTACCGTTCCTGGAGGGAGTTTCGGACACACTCCCGGCTTTGGTTTACCTGCCAAGTGTTTGTATATCAGTGAATCTTAAAGGACAACCTGTATTACAAAATAAAAACCTGATCCACACACTAAGGCCTCGTTTACACTGCATGGTTCAAGTGACCCAAATCTGATTTTTTCTTCTCATGTGGCACAGATCGGATATGACCGGTGAACATGTTTAAAAAAAAAAAAAGGATCTCAGATCGGATTCAGGTCTCATTCATATGTGGTAATAAAACGGATACGTGCATTTGTGTGTGCCATGTAAGCAGACAAATCGGATATTCCCCAGTAAATGAGAGTCAAACGTCATTAAAAAGTGCGTGATAGAAGAAAGGAGGCACAGTGGAGCAATGCGGAGGGTTCATTTCTTTTGAGTGTTTGGGGCGAAGAGTGCAGGCAAAAAAAAAAAAAAAAAAGCAGGGTTACAGAAATAAATCCGTGTTTTGAAGACATTTCACGAGATACGAGGCATCGTTTTAAGTGCTCGTGGCTACAGTGCCTCTCCTCTTTTTCTCTCCGCCGTACGAGACCAGTGTTTTGATGACTTTTCAAAATATTGTGGAAAGAAAAACACTGGATAATTTTATTCGCATCTGCATCCATTGAATTTCGTGCTGTTTTACTTAATTTCCCGGGTCAGAACGTCTGCATTTGGTAGTTTCAGCATAGTGTAAATGCAGAAATCGGTTACGGGTCACTTTTAAAAGATGTAAAAAAAAAAAAAAATGAAAAGATGAGATAAAGATAAAAAAAAAAATTTTAAAAAAAAATCAGATTTAGTCAGAAAATTGGATTTGGACATCAAGACCTGCAGTGTAAATGCAGCCTAATATAATAAAAATACCTGTAAAAGGAGCTGAACACGTATGTCCACATCCATTGCTGCAGCATTTCTGATCATTAGGACAGTCACTGTCAGAGGAACACAACTCGACACAAATTCCTACCGTTCCTGGAGGGAGTTTTGGACACACTCCTGGCTTTGGTTTATCTGTCAAGTGTTTGTACATCAGTGAATCTTAAAGGACAACCTGTATTACAAAATTAAAACCTGATCCACACACTAATGAAATATAGATACCTGTAAATGGCGGTGTACACATGTGTCCACATCCATTGCTGCAGCATTTCTCATCATTCGGACATTGACCGTCAGAGAAACATGACTCGACACACGCTCCTACCGTTCCTGGAGGGAGTTTCGGACACACTCCTGGCTTTGGTTTACCTGTCAAGTGTTTGTATATCAGTGAATCTTAAAGGACAACCTGTATTAAAAAAATAAAAACCTGATCCACACACCAAGGCCTCGTTTACACTGCATGGTTCAAGTGACCCAAATCTGATTTTTTCTTCTCATGTGGCACAGATCGGATATGACCGGTGAACATGTAAGCAGGAAAAAAAAAAACAATTTTTCAGATTTTCCCAGATCGGATTCAGGTCTCATTCATATGTGGTAATAAAACGGACACGTGCATTTGTTTGTGCCATGTAAGCAGACAAATCGGATATTCCCCAGTAAATGAGAGTTGTACGTCATTAAAAAGTGCGCGATGGAAGAAAGGATACACACCGTGGAGCAATGCGGAGGTTTCATGTCTTTTGAGTGTTTGGGGCGAAGAGTGCAGGAAAAAAAAAAAAAATGCAAGGTTACAGAAATAAATCCGTATTTGAAGACATTTCACGAGATATGAGGCACCGTTTTAAGTGCTCGTGGCTACAGTGCCTCTCCTCTTTTTCTCGCCGCCGTACGACTTTTCAAAATCTGCAGCCATTGAATTTCGTGCTGTTTTACTTAATTTCCCAGGTCAGAACGTCTGAATTTGGTAGTTTCAGCAGTGTATGGTGTAAATGCACAAATCAGATACAGGTCACTTTTAAAAGATGATGTAAGCAGGTTATGAAAAATTTTAGAAAAAAAAAAAGAAAAAAAAAACGGATTTAGTCAGAAAATCGGATTTGGGCATCAAGACCTGCAGTGTAAATGCAGCCTAATATAATAAAAATACCTGTAAATGGAGCTGAACACACATGTCCACATCCATTACTGCAGCATTTCTCATCTTTTGGACAGTCACTGTCAGAGAAACACGACTCGACACACAGTCCTACCGTTCCTGGAGGGAGTTTGGGACACACTCCTGGCTTTGGTTCATCTGTCAAGTGTTTGTAGAACAGCATATCAGTGAATGTTAAATGACCACCTGTATTAAAATAAAAACCTGATACACACACTAATATAATAATAAATTTTTTTTTAAAAAAACCTTTAAATGGAGCTGTACACGCATGTCCACCACATCCATTCCTGCAGCATTTCTCATCATTCGGACAGTCACTGTCAAAGGAACACGACTCGACACACAGTCCTACCGTTCCTGGAGGGAGTTTCGGACACACTCCTGGCTTTGGTTTATCTGTCAAGTGTTTGTATAACAGCATCAGTGAATGTTAAAGGACCACCTGTATTACAAAATAAAAAACCTGATTCACACACTAATAAAAAAAAAAAAAAAAAAAAAAAAAAAAAAACTTTATAAGGAGCTGAACACTCATATCCGCATCCATTGCTGCAGCATTTCTGATCATTCGGACATTGACTGTCATAGGAATATGAATGGACACACAGTCCTACCATTCCTGCAGGGACTTTCGGACACACTCCTGGCTTTGGTTCATCTGTCATGCGTTTGTATAACAGCAGCATATTACTTAACAGGGGACTTGCCAATAAAATGTATTCATTTATAATAAAATGCATTAAAAAAAGCTGACTCACCACACAAAAATATAATAAAAATAGCACGGTCATTCATTTTCCCTCAGAATACTATACTCATTATCACTATAAGTGCTCCAAATATCATCATTTTCATATGTTCCATTTATAGGGCTGCCACTCATTCGAAATGAGTAATAATAAAGAAAAAGTAAACTACCATGACAATGAACACATCTTGTAACAACTGAACACACATATCTGGTACCCTGGTTCAGTACACACACAAAAATAAATAACATTTTTATCCTTCATAATTCTGTTTTCCATGTACAACTTTATTAACTTCTGCTTACAATTTACTCACCCCATATCATCCAAGAGGTCCATGTCTTTCTTTCTTCAGTCGAAAAGAAATTAAGGTTTCTGATGAAAACATACCAGGATTTTCTTCATATAATGGACTTCAATGGAAACCAAACGGTTCAAGGTCCAAATGAGAGTTTCAGTGCAGCTTCAAAGGGCTTTAAACGACACCAGACGATGAATGGGTCTTATCTAGCGAAACAATTGCTAATTTCAAAAATAAATAAAAAAAACTTTAAGTTTTATAAGCACAATTGCTCGCATTGCTCCGTTCTGTGATGACCGTTCGTGACTCTCCTGTTCGAACTTCAAAATTAACAAATCTTTTTTCATTTGTCATTTTTGAAATGGACGATCGTTTCACTAGACAAGACACTAATTCATCGTCTGGTGTCGCTTAAAGCCCTTTGAAGCAATGAAACGGTCATTTGGACCTTGAACCGTTTGGTACCCAATGAAGTAGCAAACTGACATTGAATCAACGTGGAAATATGACATCGAAACAACGTTGATCTGACATTGTTTTGCTCATCGAATTAACGTTGAACCAACGTCAGATGCGTCATTCTTTCAAAACTAACGGAAAATCAACTTGAAATCAACGCGTTGTTTCAACGTCATGAAAGCAAACCAATTTTCGATTTCATTTAGCTTTGAAGAATGCCGCGTCTGACGTTGGTTCAACGTTAATTCGATGAGCAAATCAACGTTGTTTCAATGTCATGAGAGACGTCGTTTCCACGTTGATTCAATGTCAGTTTGCTGTCTGGGCGTCCATTATATGGAGAAAATCCTGGAATGTTGATCAAAAAAAATATTTAAAAAATGTTTATTAATTTCTTTTCGACTGTAGAAAGGAAGACGTGGACATCTTGGATGACATGGGGGTGAGTAAATTATCAGCAAAAGTGAACTACTCCTCTAAACCTTCTATTTAGAACTAGGCCTACAACATACACAACGTATCTTTCACTGGACGTCTGTTGCCTACTGTAGGCATACTTAAGTTATATAAACTAATGTTCTATGATGGGCAAAAGCCATATTTTGTTCAGGTTGTTTACATATTTTTTCGCACTGTAATGAAGTTAAAAGAACTCACCCATCCAGCATACACAGGGGCACAATAAAAGAGCGAGCAACGAGTAAAGCCGAGCCGTCATCTTGAAGCCTGCGATCACACAAAGGACTCTGCTGGAAACGCTCTTGAAACAGCGCTTTTAAAGACACAACTGGCGTTTTATTGGGTCGACTGATTAGCCAACCTGATTAGCTCGTTCAGGTGTGCTCAAAGCTAAGGCGTAGCCTACCGTAATTGGGCGTTTCTTCAACTAGGGGAACTTTTATCCTTGTGAAGTTGAATTAAAAAAGAGTGTTCAAAAGTGAGTCTCTTGTGTTTAATCTAATTTTGTCTAGTTTAAGACTTAGATTACAAGAGAAATTGTTAATAGGCCCTATTTTTTTTTCCGACTTGCAATGAATGCAATTCCTAATTTTCATGCATTCAAATGCATTCCTAATTTCCAATACAGCTGTTATTTTAAAACTGATTAACTTATGCCACTCATGAATTGTCTAAGATCATTTTTATAACTATTTTTTATCAGTTTTTCCACAATGTAGTATACATTTGTCAATGAGATAAATGAACTGCCTAAGGACCAAATTGCTGAACTGTACACCTGTCACACTCTGAAATGTATTGGTTAAAAAATACTGGTTTGGGCAAGAGCATATTAAAGTAAATAACTTGAATTTGTATATTAAGTAGAGCATAATCTCATAAATTGTTACATTTTTAATGTGTGGTGAGAACTTTTCAATATTTTTTTTTTAAATGTGTGATGTAAATGACAGGAGGGCGGTGTTGGAAATGACTGGGTGTTGTGGAAATGACAATGAATTACAAACGTATAAAAACGGTAGAGATATTATTATTAGAACAACTCATCACACTCATTAAACTCTATTCACAGAGTCATTAAACAAAACAACTTGTTTTAGAGTCCTGCTTTGAAGTATGAAACTGATTTGTCTCACAGATTAATTGTGGCAATGCATACTTAAGTCAAAATAGATGCAAATTAAATAAATCAATATTGAAGTAATATAATTTACAAATAAAAATAATTTCATATTCCATCCATCTTCTCCCGCTTATCCGGGGCTGGGTCCGAAATTACCGTATAGACAGGAGGGGAAGCTCATTTGCAATTGGGGGAATGTGGAGGCATAAAGTCAAGGGAGATGGCCGTAGAGAGTCATAAAGTTGCTCCTGCTGTGAGCTCATGGACAGCTAATGCTCACGCTCTCCGTCTCTGTGAGATTCGGAAGGGAATGATTCAGATTCCTCATGGCACAGCTACTAGAAGACGTACAACTGTCAGAACGGTTGCTCACATCACATCTACATCGTCAAGCTCAGTTTGAGCCTGCACACAGTGAGACCTATTAAGTCCTGTTGTACCGAATGTTGATTGCAGTTCCACTGAGGGCGATCGCCCGAGTGCAAAATGAATGGGAGTCTGGAGCTAGACGTCTAAATTTGTCTCGTTCACTCGATTGGCGTTGGGAAATCTCAAATTTGATTGTAGGTTTTTAAAGATCAACATGGGTTGTAGGTCGAAAGTTGAATGAACGAGTATTTGTCCATTCGATTTCTTACAGGTTAAGTTGTTGTTGCTCATAACACGCTAATGGACGCTGATTGGTCAGTGAAGAACTGATTATGGCCAGAGATTTGCTTGATGGTGTAAGGCCGTCTAAATTGATCCAATGGCGGCACTCGATTAGAAATGAGAGAAGGTCTCACACGACACGTGTTCCGTCTCTTCTCAAGGGGTTTTTGATTAAATGCAATACATTTTATCTTATGTATTAACTCATTATTTCATCTGACTCCAGAAATGAAAAGGTTTTTCAATGATATCTGAGCACCATTAAATCTAGTTGATAGTTGTTCAAATTAAAACCATATAGATTCTTGTGTGGCTGATCTCTGCAAGAGTGGGGAATGCGGGGATGGAGTGTATGTGTAAGAGGTGTTCAAATATTCATTTGCAAGCAAGGTCCTTCGTCTCTCAGACCTGTGGTGAGGTGGATCTCTTCAACCAGATCTTCCAGTCTAACAAATACCTCCTTGACCCCGTGGGTCACATTCAGACACTTTCGGGGTGGGGTCACAATAAGACATCGGTCGTGATTTTTGAGATGTAACTCAACAAGTGTCTTTGTAGAAGCTCAGAGGGCTTTGTTCACTTGCAGAACACCCGTTCTCAGCAGGTGTTTAGCTTGAGTTCTTCCAAGGTGTCTGTGTGTGTGAGAGGAGTTCAAATGTTCATTTCGTCTCAGACCTGTGGTGAGGTTGATCTCTTCAACCAGATCTTCCACTCTCACAGATACCTCTTTGACCCCGTGGGTCACATTCAGACACTTACAGGGTGGGGTCACATTATTGAGATGTAACTCTACAAGTGTCTTTGTAGAAGCTCAGAGGGCTTTGTTCACTTGCAGAACACCCGTTCTCAGCAGGTGTTTAGCTTGAGTTCAGCATGATGAACGGGCTCAGGCTTTCTTCCTGTGGTTCATAGAGTCAATCTGGCCCTTTTGACTTGTTCATTTGATGTTCAATTCATTTCAAATTTATTTGATTAGCACTTTTCACAATACATATTGTTTCAAAGCAGCTTTACAGAAAGTGCATTTCAGAAATGTAAATGGAAAAAATACAGTTGATCATGTAATAATTTAGGGTATAACATGTCGCCGGCGTTGAGTTGTCTCTTCACAGCCGTTGAGTCGTCTCATCGCAGGTGTTGGGGCATCTGAAGTATCCATGTGTCATTTCTTCATGGAGAAACCTCTGCTTCTGTTCCCCATGACGATAATCTGTCCCTTCTTGACCAATCCTGTCACCCTCAGTGGGCGAAGGGGTTCTCATTGGTTTCACTCTGAACAGTGACACCTGAAAAACTGAAAAGTCATGTCATATTCAATATAAAATATCATGTTCATGTCGGAAAGTGCGATTGGTACATTTGGTCTCATGTGTTTCTAAAGGTCCTGAAAGGTAAGGTGGTTTCATTTTAAATATCTAATTCTTCATTACCACTGTGATGAAGTCTGGATAACGCCAGACCACGTATCAATGAGAATGAAACGTGGTCTGGAAACTACATGTTGCGCATGCCTCTCGTATTTGAGGCGAGGTTTACGAATGCAGAGCTGTATTATTGGGTGCTACGAATGTCTATCAAATGCGCCTGTACGTAGCTCATAGCCAATGGGGTCAATGACACCAGATGACGTATGCAGAGCGACCAGGAAAAAGACGATGGGTTAGAGATTTAGGAGATTTAACGTAAAACTTCTAATAATAGCCGTGTTCCAAATAGACGCCTGTCTCTTTTACACGTCTGGTGTGACTGCAGGTTTGGGTAAATAAAAGCCGGTCTCTATTACCTTTACGGGCGAGAGTTGCATGTGTTGTTCATGTCAAATGTACATGATGGTGTCGATACTGCTGTATCAGTATGAGCCAGAATCAGACCCAGAAAGTGGCGATGAAGAGAGGCAAGCAGAACCTCACCACACACGGTTACAAAACGTTTCTGATATTTTGCCTATATTTTTTTTAAACTTTAAACACGTTTGTTTTACACAAAATAGCATCGGCCTGTCGTGTTCGGTCTCTTGGTTTGTGATAGTGGCTGCTATTGTGAAACTCACCTTCGTCGTGTACTGAGTGTGGATGCATCAAGATCTCGTCCTGAAGAATCGCAGAGTCAAATGATTATATCTCATCTGGTAACAAGAGCATATCCATAACTTTAAGATCCACTGAATTAAAGAATGTCAGTATTTACTTATTGGTTTTACTTATTTACTTATAATTACTTATTGGTCCAAAAAACTACTCACAAAACCTCTCACAATACAACTTTAATATAGACGGATGTCCTGTTACTTTATCCACTACAGTAAAAGACCTGGGTGTTATACTAGACCGCAACTTGTCTTTCGAAAATCATATTTCATATGTTACAAGAACAGCCTTTTTTCACCTTAGAAACATTGCTAAGCTACGTAACATGCTATCTATTTCTGATGCAGAAAAATTTGTTCACGCATTCATGACCTCGAGACTAGATTACTGTAATGCTTTATTAGCCGGTTGTCCTGCATCCTCAATAAACAAGCTACAGTTAGTACAAAATGCAGCTGCTAGAGTTCTTACTAGGTCAAGAAAATATGATCATATAACACCGATTTTATCATCTCTACACTGGTTACCTATTAAGTTCCACATCAACTACAAAATACTGCTACTGACCTATAAAGCCCTAAATGGTTTAGCTCCTATGTACTTAACGGACCTTCTTTCGCCCTACAATCCACCGCGTTCCTTAAGATCACTACATTCAAGGCTTCTGGTCATTCCTAGGATATCGAAGTCCAGTAAAGGAGGGAGGGCGTTCTCGCATTTAGCTCCAAAACTCTGGAATAGCCTTCCCAATACGGTCCGAGGCTCTGACTCGCTGACACAGTTTAAAACTAGATTAAAGACGCATCTCTTTAGTCAAGCATTCACATAATGCTTACCTTTTAGTCCTCTGTTATGCCATACGGAACCGTTTGCCACTGAAACGCATTTCCGCGACAGTGGGGCTCGACAGCCTTAGTCAACGGGTCGGCGCGTATGGTTGGGTTGCGGAGAGTTCAGGTTACGGAGAGTTTGTGAGATAGCGGTTTTCTAACACCGACTCCCTTATAATGGAAATCATTATGAACATCAGCTATGCTAATTATTTCCCATCTGCCTTTCTGCTGTTATCTCGGACGCTTGTCCCGAGAAAAATGGCGTTCGTCAGCTCCAGTTTTGTGTCCAGCCTCTCACGGGGATTTCGGATGCCCCAACGCCTGTGATGAGACGACTCAACGCCTGTGAAGAGACGACTCAACGCCTGTGATATGTTATGGCGCCGTTTTATTCATAAACAATATTTATATTTAATATTTATATATAAACAATATGAATGTAAGCCAGAGGAGAACTGGCCCCCGACTGAGCCTGGGTTCTCCCAATTTTTTTTCTCCATCCAATCTGATGGAGTTTTGGTTCCTTGCCACTGTCGCCTTGCTTTGATCTTGCTCAGTTGCATTATTTAGTGTTTAGCAATGTTGTTGATCCTGTGTTGTACTACTTTCATGTTATCAGTGTGAAGCTGCTTTGATACAATCTGTATTGTGAAAAGCGCTATATAAATAAATGTGACTTGACTATTTATCAGTAAAAAGTACATAAAAACATATTTACCATTTTAATTTGTAATGCTTTCATGTAACTTTATTTTATGAATATATGAAGACTGAGGACAATGTATGTATGTAGCCTAAGTGAATAACTTGCATATGGACTGAAATGCCTTTGATTAATTTATTTTATTTTATATTTATCTGTATTTATTTTGTTTATCGAATTTTGTTCAATTTAACTGTGTTTATGTTATCGTCATGTAGTCGTGTTGTCGAGAGGCCCGGGAGAAGTTAGGAACTGGTACTAAAACAAAAAGAAAAAATGCTGTGTGCAGCAAAAACTGGCACTAAACAATGCCTAGTGGTACATCCACCAAACCATCAGCATGTCTCACCTCAAACATGATCTATCATGATTTTGCACAGTACACATGGGAGGCAACCTCCTCAAACCTTCTTCTGGCTTTCCGGCAGACTAGATGCCTTACGGCATATTGCTGCCTCCCACAGTTCAGTCTCGGTATCGCTTTATATCTCCATCATTTTCATAGGGCTAATCCTGTTGCCGATGTAAAATCCATGACGGTTTCCACAATCCTTAATTAGTTCTCATGAGGATTCAAAATATCTCTCAGGGTCACTGCTTGTAATCCATCTCCTGATATCACAGAATAAAGTTAACCTCCTCAAACCAGATCGAACAATGGTTTAAATACTCAAGTTTCCCGCCAAACACTAGTGGGCCATACCATTGTCACGGGGTGGAACCTTTCCCCGTGACCCTCACTGAATTTCACAGCAAATCATTTTCATACAAATACAACTAATGTTCACGAACTCATTGATCATAATACAAACATGAATCAATAATCATAATACAAACTTTCATAACATATATGACAAACAAACATTTAACACCTCACAGCACTCATGTCTCCCTCCATCTTGGAACATGGTATGTTCTGGCTATGCGCACTACCAGAACCCAAAACAAACGATCATGAATGACAATGACAGAGCAAGGGCTACCGTCCTGTTTTTCTGCTTTTAAGAATTTTTCAGAATACATCCAGCCCCAGTGTTCTCCACTTCAACGGTCATTAATCAGACATCAGGACTTGAGTCCCAAAATAAATGGAGCCTTTCAGTATTTCTAAAAATCTATTTAAAGTCTTTCAAAACTGTTTAACTCATAATTGGAAAGCCATTAAGTACACTTTTGCTCCCAAGCTCATGTAGAATTATTTTTATTTTTTTTAAAAAAAACATTACACATGTTTTTTTTACTAGACATTTTTATTTGTTGAGAAGTCCAAGTATGAAAAAAAAAAAAGAAAAGAAAATCTCAGAGGACTCTTTCCAATGGCTAAATCATCAGCACAGGTGGTTGGGCAACACTTCTGTCTGGCAGGACATTGGCCATCATGGATCTACTTCTCAGCAACGCAGTCCCAAACATCTACCAGGTGTCACTGCATGGATACAAATATATACATTTCAGCTTTAGTCTGTGCATTTAGCGTCATTCAATTTAAGAAACAGCACAAAATAGGAACTTTAACTTGGAGAAAGTTGTATTTCAAGTATTATGAATCTTTATTTCGTAAAGCACAATTTTGAATTGGTGCTATGGGCTAAATTCAGGTACTTCGATTTTATCACTCAACGCAAATCTAAAGTAGAAACAAGCGCCCAAATTAGACATTAGTATGCTGCATATCAGATCGTATGAATGATCATACGTTGATGAGTGGCGGCTGTAAACAATCGGTACTTTAATATCACGGCCCTAGACATTCATGGTTTTGAAGCCTCATCTTGAGTTTACGCCACGGAGAAAATGTAACCCGACCAAAGAAGTTATCCTTGCTCAAATCTGTTAACCTCATAGGAAACATTTTACTTATTAAATGTTTACATAATTTATATTTATTCAATACCGGCGAGTAAAACTAAACGTTTACAAACATTAGAAACAATAGCCTAGGTCATTTAAACCCCGTCAACAAATCCTTTAAATTAAACGGTTTTCAAAAAAGGAAAACTAGCTATGAATTAAATTAAACTAGGCTATAAAAAAAAAAAAAAAAAAAAAAAAAAAAAAACAAATTAGGCTATGGTGGCTTATATAAAAAAAAAAAATAAATACCACATTGTAGTCCACATCTAGTGCTGCAGCATTTGTCTTTGCCCGGACAGTCACTGTCAGAGGAGCATGGCTTGTTACACTCTGTAATTGCACGGAGTTTGCTTGGACACACTCCTGGCTTTGGTTTCACTGCGTTTGGATGACATTATATCAATGAATGCATTGATGCATTCAAAAGAAAAGCTGACCCACACACACACACACTAATATAAATACCTATGATTGGAGCCCAACACTGACGTCCACATGCATTGCTGCAGCATTTCTCAATGGTTGGACAGTCACTGTCATCGTCGCATGAATTCTTACACACATCTCCAAGGGGTATAACTGGACACACTCCTGGCTTTGCTATTTGTAAAACAGGGAAACCAGATTAATGAATGCTGAACGTCTCATTCAACGCATGGGTCAGTTTTTACACAATTACCTTTATATGGAGCCCTACACTGATGCCCACACCCATTGCTGCAGCATTTCTCATCTTTCGGACAATCACTGTCTTGGGAACACGCCTCGGAACATTTTCTTTCTGCTTCAGGGATATTGTTTGGACACACTCCTGGCTTTGGTTTATCTGTCAAGCGTTTGTATAACAGCATCAGTGAATGTTAAATGACTTCCTGTATTAGATAAAAACCTGATCCACACATTAATAAAATAAAAAATACCTTTAAATGGAGCTGAACACGTATGTCCACATCCATTACTGCAGCATTTCTCATCATTTGGACAGTCACTGTCAGAGGAACACGACTCGACACAAATTCCTACCGTTCCTGGAGGGAGTTTCGGACACACTCCTGGCTTTGGTTTATCTGTCAAGTGTTTACAGATCAGTGAATCTTAAAGGACAACCTGTATTAAAAAATAAAAACCTGATCCACACACTAATGAAATATAGATACCTGTAAATGGCGGTGTACACATGTGTCCACATCCATTGCTGCAGCATTTCTCATCATTTGGACATTGACCGTCAGAGAAACATGACTCGACACACGCTCCTACCGTTCCTGGAGGGAGTTTCGGACACACTCCCGGCTTTGGTTTACCTGTCAAGTGTTTGTATATCAGTGAATCTTAAAGGACAACCTGTATTACAAAATAAAAACCTGATCCACACACTAAGGCCTCGTTTACACTGCATGGTTCAAGTGACCCAAATCTGATTTTTTCTTCTCATGTGGCACAGATCGGATAGGACCGGTGAACATGTAAGCAGGAGAAAAAAAACAAAAAAAACAATTTTTCAGATTTTCCCAGATCGGATTCAGGTCTCATTCATATGTGGTAATAAAACGGATACGTGCATTTGTGTGTGCCATGTAAGCAGACAAATCGGATATTCCCCAGTAAATGAGAGTCGTACGTCATTAAAAAGTGCGTGATAGAAGAAAGGAGGCACAGTGGAGCAATGCGGAGGGTTCATGTCTTTTGAGTGTTTGGGGCGAAGAGTGCAGGCAAAAAAAAAAAAAAAAAAAAAAAAAAAAAGCAGGGTTACAGAAATAAATCCATATTTGACGACATTTCACGAGATACATGGCATCGTTTTAAGTGCTCGTGGCTACAGTGCCTCTCCTCTTTTTCTCTCCGCCGTACGAGACCAGTGTTTTGATGACTTTTCAAAGTATTGTGGAAAGAAAAACACTGGATAATTTTATTCGCATGTGCATCCATTGAATTTCGTGCTGTTTTACCTAATTTTCCCGAGTCAGAACGTCTGCGTTTGGTAGTTTCAGCAGTGTATAGTGTAAATGCAGAAATCGGTTACGGGTCACTTTTAAAAGATGATGTAAAAAAAAAAAAAAAAAAAAAAAAGAAAAGATGAGAAAGATAAAAAAAAAATTTTTTTAAATCGGATTTAGTCAGAAAATTGGATTTGGGCATCAAGACCTGCAGTGTAAATGCAGCCTAATATAATAAAAATACCTGTAAATGGAGCTGAACACGTATGTCCACATCCATTGCTGCAGCATTTCTGATCATTCGGACAGTCACTGTCAGAGGAACACAACTCGACACAAATTCCTACCGTTCCTGGAGGGAGTTTCGGACACACTCCTGGCTTTGGTTTATCTGTCAAGTGTTTATATATCAGTGAATCTTAAAGGACAACCTGTATTAAAAAAAAAAAACCTGATCCACACACTAATGAAATATAGATACCTGTAAATGGCGCTGTACACATATGTCCACATCCATTACTGCAGCATTTCTCATCATTCGGACAGTCACTGTCAGAGGAACACCACTCAGCACACGCTCCTACCGTTCCTGGAGGGAGTTTGGGACACACTCCTGGCTTTGGTTCATCTGTCAAGTGTTTGTATAACAGCATATCAGTGAATGTTAAATGACCACCTGTATTAAAATAAAAACCTGATACACACACTAATATAATAAAAAATAAATAAATAAAAAAAAACCTTTAAATGGAGCTGTACACGCATGTCCACCACATCCATTCCTGCAGCATTTCTCATCATTCGGACAGTCACTGTCAAAGGAACACGACTCGACACACGGTCCTACCGTTCCTGGAGGGAGTTTGGGACACACTCCTGGCTTTGGTTTATCTGTCAAGTGTTTGTATAACAGCATCAGTGAATGTTAAAGGACCACCTGTATTACAAAATAAAAAACCTGATTCACACACTAAAAAAAAAAAAAAAAAAAAAATGTATATGGAGCTGAACACTCATATCCGCATCCATTGCTGCAGCATTTCTGATCATTCGGACATTGACTGTCATTAGAACATGAATGCACACACGGTCCTACCATTCCTGCAGGGACTTTCGGACACACTCCTGGCTTTGGTTCATCTGTCATGCGTTTGTATAACAGCAGCATATTACTTAACAGGGGACTTGCCAATAAAATGTATTCATTTATAATAAAATGCATTAAAAAAAGCTGACTCACCACACAAAAATATAATAAAAATAGCACGGTCATTCATTTTCCCTCAGAATACTATACTCATTATCACCATAAGTGCTCCAAATATCATAATTTTCATATGTTCCATTTATAGGGCTGCCACTCATTCGAAAGGAGTAATAATAAAGAAAAAGTAAACTACCATGACAATGAACACATCTTGTAACAACTGAACACGCATATCTGGTACCCTGGTTCAGTACACACACAAAAAAAAATAACATTTTTATCCTTCATAATTCTGTTTTCCATGTACAACTTTATTAACTTTTGCTTACAATTTACTCACCCCCATATCATCCAAGAGGTCCATGTCTTTCTTTCTTCAGTCGAAAAGAAATTAAGGTTTCTGATGAAAACATACCAGGATTTTCTCCATATAATGGACTTCAATGGAAACCAAACGGTTCAAGGTCCAAATGAGAGTTTCAGTGCAGCTTCAAAGGGCTTTAAACGACACCAGACGATGAATGGGTCTTATCTAGCGAAACAATTGCTAATTTCAAAAATAAATAAAAAAAAAAGTTTAAGTTTTATAAGCACAATTGCTCGCATTGCTCCGTTCGTGACTCTCCTGTTCGAACTTCAAAATTAACAAATCTTTTTTCATTTGGACGATCGTTTCGCTAGACAAGACCCTAATTCATCGTCTGGTGTCGCTTAAAGCCCTTTGAAGCAATGAAACGGTCATTTGGACCTTGAACCGTTTGGTACCCAATGAAGTCCATTATATGGAGAAAATCCTGGAATGTTGATCAAAAAAATTATTTAAAAAATGTTTATTAATTTCTTTTCGACTGTAGAAATGAAGGCGTGGACATCTTGGATGACTTGGGGGTGAGTAAATTATCAGCAAAAGAACATACAAAACGTATCTTTCACTGGACGTCTGTTGCCTACTGTAGGCATACTTAAGTTATATAAACTAATGTTCTATGATGGGCAAAAGCCATATTTTGTTCAGGTTGTTTACATATTTTTTCGCACTGTAATGAAGTTAAAAGAACTCACCCATCCAGCATACACAGGGGCACAATAAAAGAGCGAGCAACGAGTAAAGCCGAGCTGTCATCTTGAAGCCTGCGATCACACAATGGACTCTGCTGGAAACGCTCTTGAAACAGTGTTTTTAAAGACACAACTGGCGTTTTATTGGGTCGACTGATTAGCCAACCTGATTAGCTCGTTCAGGTGCTAAGGCGTAGCCTACCGTAATTGGGCGTTTCTTCAACTAGGGGAACTTTTATCCTTGTGAAGTTGAATTAAAAAAGAGTGTTCAAAAGTGAGTCTCTTGTGTTTAATCTAATTTTGTCTAGTTTTAAGACTAAGATTACAAGAGAAATTGTTAATAGGCCCTATTTTTTTTTCCGACTTGCAATGAATGCAATTCCTAATTTTCATGCATTCAAATGCATTCCTAATTTCCAATACAGCTGTTATTTTAAAACTGATTAACTTATGCCACTCATGAATTGTCTAAGGTCATTTTTATAACTATTTTTTTATCAGTTTTTCCACAATGTAGTATACATTTGTCAATGAGATAAATGAACTGCCTAAGGACCAAATTGCTGAACTGTACACCTGTCACACTCTGAAATGTATTGGTTAAAAAATATTGGTTTGGGCAAGAGCATATTAAAGTAAATAACTTGAATTTGTATATTAAGTAGAGCATAATCTCATAAATTGTTACATTTTTAATGTGTGGTGAGAACTTTTTCAATATTTTTTTTTTAAATGTGTGATGTAAATGACAGGAGGGCGGTGTTGGAAATGACTGGGTGTTGTGGAAATGACAATTAATTATAAACGTATAAAAACAGTAGAGATATTTATTAGAACAACTCATCACACTCATTAAACTCTATTCACAGAGTCATTAAACAAAACAACTTGTTTTAGAGTCCTGCTTTGAAGTATGAAACTGATTTGTCTCACAGATTAATTGTGGCAATGCATACTTAAGTCAAAATAGATGCAAATTAAATCAATCAATATTGAAGTAATATAATTTACAAATAAAAATAATTTCATATTCCATCCATCTTCTCCCGCTTATCCGGGGCTGGGTCCGAAATTACCGTAGACCGGAGGGGAAGCTCATTTGCAATTGGGGGGATGTGGAGGCATAAAGTCAAGGGAGATGGCCGTAGAGAGTCATAAAGTTGCTCCTGCTGTGAGCTCACGGATAGCTAATGCTCACTCACGCTCTCCGTCTCTGTGAGATTCGGAAGGGAATGATTCAGATTCCTCATGGCACAGCTACTAGAAGACGTACAACTGTCAGAACGGTTGCTCACATCACATCTACATCGTCAAGCTCAGTTTGAGCCTGCACACAGTGAGACCTATTAAGTCCTGTTGTACCGAATGTTGATTGCAGTTCCACTGAGGGCGATCGGCCGAGTGCAAAATGAATGGGAGTCTATGGAGCTAGACGTCTAAATTTGTCTCGTTCACTCGATTGGCGTTGGGAAATCTCAAATTTGATTGTAGGTTTTTAAAGATCAACATGGGTTGTAGGTCGAAAGTTGAATGAACGAGTATTTGTCCATTCGATTTCTTACAGGTTAAGTTGTTGTTGCTCATAACACGCTAATGGACGCTGATTGGTCAGTGAAGAACTGATTATGGCCAGAGATTTGCTTGATGGTGTAAGGCCGTCTAAATTGATCCAATGGCGGCACTCGATTAGAAATGAGAGAAGGTCTCACACGACACGTGTTCCGTCTCTTCTCAAGGGGTTTTTGATTAAATGCAATACATTTTATCTTATGTATTAACTCGTTATTTCATCTGACTCCAGAAATGAAAAGGTTTTTCAATGATATCTGAGCACCATTAAATCTAGTTGATAGTTGTTCAAATTAAAACCATATAGATTCTTGTGTGGGTGATCTCTGCAAGAGGGAATGCGGGGTCGGAGTGTGTGTGTGAGAGGTGTTCAAATGTTCATTTGCAAGCAAGGTCCTTCGTCTTAGACCTGTGGTGAGGTAGATCTCTTCAACCAGATCTTCCAGTCTAACAGATACCTCCTTGACCCCGTGGGTCACATTCAGACACTTTCGGGGTGGGGTCACAATAAGACATCGGTCGTGATTTTTGAGATGTAACTCAACAAGTGTCTTTGTAGAAGCTCAGAGGGCTTTGTTCACTTGCAGAACACCCGTTCTCACCAGGTGTTTAGCTTGAGTTCTTCCAAGGTGTCTCTGTGTGTGAGAGGTGTTCAAATGTTCATTTGCAAGCAAGGCCCTTCGTCTCAGACCTGTGGTGAGGTTGATCTCTTCAACCAGATCTTCCTGTCTCACAGATACCTCTTTGACCTCGTGGGTCACATTCAGACACTTACAGGGTGGGGTCACATTATTGAGATGTAACTCTACAAGTGTCTTTGTAGAAGCTCAGAGGGCTTTGTTCACCTGCAGAACACCCGTTCTCAGCAGGTGTTTAGCTTGAGTTCAGCATGATGAACGGGTTCAGGCTTTCTTCCTGTGGTTCATAGAGTCAACCCTTTTGACTTGTTCATTTGATGTTCAATTCAATTCAAATTTATTTGTATAGCGCTTTTCACAATACATATTGTTTCAAAGCAGCTTTACAGAAAGTGCATTTCAGAAATGTAAATGGAGTAAATGGAAAAAATACAGTTAGTTGATCATGTAATAATTTAGGGCATAACATGTCGCCGGCGTTGAGTTGTCTCTTCACAGCCGTTGAGTCGTCTCATCGCAGGTGTTGGGGCATCTGAAGTATCCATGTGTCATTTCTTCTTGGAGAAACCTCTGCTTCTGTTCCCCATGACGATAATCTGTCCCTTCTTGACCAATCCTGTCACCCTCAGTGGGCGAAGGGGTTCTCATTGGTTTCACTCTGAACAGTGACACCTGAAATCTGAAAAGTCATGTTCAATATAAAATATCATGTTCATGTCGGAAAGTGCGATTGGTAAATTTGGTCTCATGTGTTTCTAAAGGTCCTGAAAGGTAAGGTGGTCTCATTTTAAATATCTAATTCTACATTACCACTGTGAGGAAGTCTGGATAACGCCAGACCACGTATCAATGAGAATGAAACGTGGTCTGGAAAACACATGTTGCACATGCCTCTCGTATTTGAGGCGAGGTTTACGAATGCCCAGAGCTGTATTATTGGGTGCTACGAATGTCTACCAAATGCGCCTGTACGTAGCTCATAGCCAATGGGGTCAATGACACCAGATGACGTATGCAGAGCGACCAGGAAAAAGACGATGGGTTAGAGATTTAGGAGATTTAACGTAAAACTTCTAATAATAGCCGAGTTCCAAATAGACGCCTGTCTCTTTTACACGTCTGGTGTGACTGCAGGTTTGGGTAAATAAAAGCCGCTCTCTATTACCTTTACGGGCGAGAGTTGCATGTGTTGTTCATGTCAAATGTACATGATTGTGTCGATACTGCTGTATCAGTATGAGCCAGAATCAGACCCAGAAAGCGGCGATGAAGAGAGGCAAGCAGAACCTCACCACACACGGTTACAAAACGTTTCTGATATTTTGCTTATATTTTTTTTAAACTTTAAACACGTTTGTTTTACACAAAATAGCATCGGCCTGTCGTGTTCGGTCTCTTGGTTTGTGATGGTGGCTGCTATTGTGAAACTCACCTTCGTCGTGTACTGAGTGTGGATGCATCAAGATCTCGTCCTGAAGAATCGCAGAGTCAAATGATTATATCTCATCTGGTAACAAGAGCATATCCATAACTTTAAGATCCACTGAATTAAAGAATGTCAGTATTTACTTATTGGTTTTACTTATTTACTTATAATTACTTATTGGTCCAAAAAACTACTCACAAAACCTCTCACAATACAACTTTAATATAGAAGACGGATGTCCTGTTACTTTATCCACTACAGTAAAAGACCTGGGTGTTATACTAGACCGCAACTTGTCTTTCGAAAATCATATTTCATATGTTACAAGAACAGCCTTTTTCCACCTTAGAAACATTGCTAAGCTACGTAACATGCTATCTATTTCTGATGCTGAAAAATTAGTTCACGCATTCATGACCTCGAGACTAGATTACTGTAATGCTTTATTAGCCGGTTGTCCTGCATCCTCAATAAACAAGCTACAGTTAGTACAAAATGCAGCTGCTAGAGTTCTTACTAGGTCAAGAAAATATGATCATATAACACCGATTTTATCATCTCTACACTGGTTACCTATTAAGTTCCGCATCAACTACAAAGTACTACTACTGACCTATAAAGCCCTAAATGGTTTAGCTCCTATGTACTTAACGGACCTTCTTTCTCCCTACAATCCACCGCGTTCCCTAAGATCACTACATTCAAGGCTTCTGGTCATTCCTAGGATATCGAAGTCCAGTAAAGGAGGGAGGGCGTTCTTGCATTTAGCTCCAAAACTCTGGAATGGCCTTCCCGATACGGTCCGAGCCTCTGACTCGCTGACACAGTTTAAAACTAGATTAAAGACGCATCTCTTTAGTCAAGCATTAGGGATGGCTCGATACCACAATTTTGGCTTCGGTACGATACCAGAACCTAATACCTCGGTATCGATACTAAATCGATACCACAGTCTGAAAAAAAAGAGTCTAAATTTAAGTGAATTGAAACAATTTTATTAAACACTGCTTGAAACTCTCAACTACCATATATGCAAAGAAAAGTATCCCAAAAAAAAAAAAAACGTATCAAAATTTTAAAAATAAAATTATGTGTAGGTAAAATTTTGATTTGGGAAAACCACTGATATTACACAATTAAAATAGGTTAATATAATAGATTAACATAATAGAATAATGAAATGACGGTAACCATTAGCTGTCATGCATCAACAGAGAATTATCAACATTTATTGCATTTATTCATCTTGGTTTGGTTACTGTTTGTGTTTGGGCTCATATTATGCATATAATGCATTGCAAAAAGTAATGTTATGATGCTAACCATATATTAGGATATTACATTTTTAGGTTATTTTATTACTGATTGATCTAGATTAATCAATGCTATATTGTTAGGCCAGGTTCCTTAATGAATGTTGACAAATGTAGCTTAATTGTAGGCTAATATTATTAATATTTATATTACTACCCTCTCTCTCTCTCTCTCTCTCTCTATCGCCACAGCCCCAGTAATGCCATTCATTTATCACTTTTATGCTTTATTAATTTAAATTAAATGAATATTTGTTTGAAATAAATTGCAAAAATGAGATCATGAGACGTAAACTGAGATCATGAGACGTAAACTGAATTGGTATAGCGTGTCATGCAAGAAGATTTGAGCTTTCGTGTTTACCATATCATATTTAATTGATAAGCTCTTAGGTATGTGCGCTGTTCAGTGTTCAATAAAAGTCTAAATTAAATCAGTTGAATGATGAACTCACCAGTCGATCTCTTGAACAAGTCAGGATGAGCAACTGACGAGCGCTTCGGCAGATTTGATGTGTTGCCTTCCATGGCAACACATTATTGAAAGCAAAGTTTGCAGAGTGGTTCATTGAGGTCTGTGTCTACACTATTCTCATTACTTTAGTAGGCAAAGTAATGCCTTATTTCACTAATACTGCTCTCTCTATTTAATAATTTCGGGCGTGTAAAAACCCGAATGAGCTTTATTCCACCGTGTTCCTTCGTTTGCCAGTTTCACGTGACTTGCGTCAGTTTCGGTAGCGCACTGCCGCCTAGTGGAGAACTTCGGAAAAGCAGCTCATCAAATACCGAATTTAACAAAATGATGATATTGTACCGTTTTAAATTAATTATATACCGGTATTTTTGCAAAACCGGTATACCGCGCATCCATATCAAGCATTCACATAATGCTTACCTTTTAGTCCTCTGTTATGCCATACGGAACCGTTTGCCACTGAAACGCATTTCCGCGACAGTGGGGCTCGACAGTCAACGGGTCGGCGCGTATGGTTGGGTTGCGGAGAGTTCAGGTTACGGAGAGTTTGTGAGATTTGTTTGTTTGTTTGTCTCCCGTATAATGGAAATCATTATGAACATCAGCTATGCTAATTATTTCCCATCTGCCTTTCTGCTGTTATCTCGGGACGCTTGTCCCGAGAAAAATGGCATTCGTCAGGTCCAGTTTTGTGTCCAGCCTCTCACGGGGATTTCGGATGCCCCAACGCCTGTGATGAGACGACTCAACGCCTGTGATGAGACGACTCAACGCCTGTGAAGAGACGACTCAACGCCTGTGATATGTTATGGCGCCGTTTTATTCATAAACAATATTTATATTTAATATTTATATATAAACAATATGAATTTAAGCCAGAGGAGAACTGGCCCCCGACTGAGCCTGGGTTCTCCCAATTTTTTTTCTCCATCCAATCTGATGGAGTTTTGGTTCCTTGCCACTGTCGCCTTGCTTTTGGCTTGCTTTTAGCTTGCTCAGTTGCATTATTTAGTGTTTAGCAATGTTGTTGATTCTGTGTTGTACTACTTTCATGTGTGTGAAGCTGCTTTGATACAATCTGTATTGTGAAAAGCGCTATATAAATATATGTGACTTGACTTGACTATTTATCAGTAAAAAGTACATAAAAACATATTTACCATTTTAATTTGTAATGCTTTCATGTAACTTTATTTTATGAATATATGAAGACTGAGGACAATGTATGTATGTAGCCTAAGTGAATAACTTGCATATGGACTGAAATGCCTTTGATTAATTTATTTTATTTTATATTTATCTGTATTTATTTTGTTTATCGAATTTTGTTCAATTTAACTGTGTTTATGTTATCGTCATGTAGTCGTGTTGTCGAGAGGCCCGGGAGAAGTTAGGAACTGGTACTAAAACAAAAAGAAAAAATGCTGTGTGCAGCAAAAACTGGCACTAAACAATGCCTAGTGGTACATCCACCAAACCATCAGCATGTCTCACCTCAAACATGATCTATCATGATTTTGCACAGTACACATGGGAGGCAACCTCCTCAAACCTTCTTCTGGCTTTCCGGCAGACTAGATTATATTGCTGCCTCCCACAGTTCAGTCTCGGTATCGCTTTATATCTCCATCATTTTCATAGGGATAATCCTGTTGCCGATATAAAATCCATACGGTCTCCACAATCCTTAATTGGTTCTCATGAGGATTCAAAATATCTCTCAGGGTCACTGCTTGTAATCCATCTCCTGATATCACAGAATAAAGTTAACCTCCTCAAACCAGATCCAACAATGGTTTAAATACTCAAGTTTCCCGCCAAACACTAGTGGGCCATACCATTGTCACGGGGTGGAACATTTCCCCGTGACCCTCACTGAATTTCACAGCAAATCATTTTCATACAAATACAACTAATGTTCACGAACTCATTGATCATGAATCAATTATCATAATACAAACATTCATAACATATATGACAAACCCAAACATTTAACACCTCACAGCACTCATGTCTCCCTTCATCTTGGAACATGGTATGTTCTGGCTATGCGCACTACCAGAACCCAAAACAAACGATCATGAATGACAATGACAGAGCAAGGGCTACCATCCTGTTTTTCTGCTTTTAAGAATACATCCAGCCCCAGTGTTCTCCACTTCAACGGTCATTAGCCAAACATCAGGACTTGAGTCCCAAAATAAATACATGGAGCCTTTCAGTATTTCTAAAAATCTATTTAAAGTCTTTCAAAACCGTTTAACTCATACAAGTAATTGGAAAGCCATTAAGTACACTTTTGCTCCCAAGCTCATGTAGAATTATTATTATTATTTTTTTTAAAAAAAACATTACACATGTTTTTTTTACTAGACATTTTTATTTGTTGAGAAGTCCAAGTATGAAAAAAAAAAAAAAAAAAGAAAAGAAAATCTCAGAGGACTCTTTCCAATGGCTAAATCATCAGCACAGGTGGTCAGGCAACACTTCTGTCTGGCAGGACATTGGCCATCATGGATCTACTTCTCAGCAACGCGGTCCCAAACATCTACCAGGTGTCACTGCATGGATACAAATATATATACATCAGCTTTAGTCTGTGCATATAGAGTCATTCAATTTAAGAAACAGCACAAAATAAGAACTTTAACTTGGAGAAAGTTGTATTTCAAGTATTATGAATCTTTATTTCGTAAAGCACAATTTTGAATTGGTGCTATGGGCTAAATTCAGGTACTTCGATTTTATCACTCGATGCAAATCTAAAGTAGAAACAAGTGCACAAATTAGACATTAGTATGCTGCGCATCAGATCGTATGAATGATCATACGTTGATGAGTGGCGGCTGTAAACAATCGGTACTTTAATATCACGGCCCTAAACATTCATGGTTTTGAAGCCTCATCTTGAGTTTACGCCACGGAGAAAATGTAACCTGACCAAAAAAGTTATCCTTGCTCAAATCTGTTAACCTCATAGGAAACATTTTACTTATTAAATGTTTACATAATTTATATTTATATTCAATACCGGCGAGTAAAACTAAACGTTTACAAACATTAGAAACAATAGCCTAGGTCATTTAAACCCCGTCAACAAATCCTTTAAATTAAACGGTTTTCAAAAAAGGAAAAGTAGCTATGAATTAAATTAAACTAGGCTATAAAATAACACAAATTAGGCTATGGTGGCTTATATAAAAAAAAAAATAAATACCACATTGTAGTCCACATCTAGTGCTGCAGCATTTGTCTTTGCCCGGACAGTCACTGTCAGAGGAGCATGGCTTGTTACACTCTGTAATTGCACGGAGTTTGCTTGGACACACTCCTGGCTTTGGTTTCACTGCGTTTGGATGACATTATATCAATGAATGCATTGATGCATTCAAAAGAAAAGCTGACACACACACACACACTAATATAAATACCTATGATTGGAGCCCAACACTGACGTCCACATGCATTGCTGCAGCATTTCTCAATGGTTGGACAGTCACTGTCATCGTCGCAGGAGTTCTTACACACATCTCCAAGGGGTATAACTGGACACACTCCTGGCTTTGCTATTTGTAAAACAGGGAAACCAGATTAATGAATTCTGAACGCGTCATTCAACGCATGGGTCAGTTTTTACACAATTACCTGTATATGGAGCCCTACACTGATGCCCACACCCATTGCTGCAGCATTTCTCATCTTTCGGACAATCACTGTCTTGGGAACACGCCTCGGAACATTTTCTTTCTGCTTCAGGGATATTGTTTGGACACACTCCTGGCTTTGGTTTATCTGTCAAGCGTTTGTATAACAGCATCAGTGAATGTTAAATGACCACCTGTATTAAAAAAAATAAAAACCTGATCCACACACTAATGAACTATAGATACCTGTAAATGGCGCTGTACACATGTGTCCACATCCATTGCTGCAGCATTTCTCATCATTCGGACATTGACCGTCAGAGAAACATGACTCGACACACGCTCCTACCGTTCCTGGAGGGAGTTTCGGACACACTCCTGGCTTTGGTTTACCTGTCAAGTGTTTGTATAACAGTGAATCTTAAAAGACAACCTGTATTAAAAAAATAAAAACCTGATCCACACACTAAGGCCTCGTTTACACTGCATGGTTCAAGTGACCCAAATCAGATTTTTTCTTCTCATGTGGCACAGATCGGATATGACCGGTGAACATGTAAGCAGGAAAAAAAAAAATATATATTTTTACAATTTTCCCAGATCGGATTCAGGTCTCATTAATATATGTGGTAATAAAACGGATACGTGCATTTGTTTGTGCCATGTAAGCAGACAAATCGGATATTCCCCAGTAAATGAGTCATACGTCATTAAAAAGTGCGCGATGGAAGAAAGGATACACACAGTGGATCAATGCGGAGGTTTCATGTCTTTTGAGTGTTTGGGGCGAAGAGTGCAGGAAAAAAAAAAAAAAAGCAGGGTTACAGAAATAAATCAGTGTTTTGAAGACATTTCACAAGATATGAGGCATCGTTTTAAGTGCTGGAGGCTACAGTGCCTCTCCTCTTTTTCTCTCCGCCGTACGAGACCAGTGTTTTGATGACTTTTCAAAGTATTGTGGAAAGAAAAACACTGGATAATTTTATTCGCATCTGCATCCATTGAATTTCGTGCTGTTTTACCTAATTTTCCCGAGTCAGAACGTCTGCGTTTGGTAGTTTCAGCAGTGTATAGTGTAAATGCAGAAATCGGTTACGGGTCACTTTTAAAAGATGATGTAAAAAAAAAAAGAAAAAAAAAAAGAAAAGATGAGATAAAGAAAAAAAAAAAATTTTAAAATCGGATTTAGTCAGAAAATTGGATTTGGGCATCAAGACCTGCAGTGTAAATGCAGCCTAATATAATAAAAATACCTGTAAATGGAGCTGAACACGTATGTCCACATCCATTGCTGCAGCATTTCTGATCATTAGGACAGTCACTGTCAGAGGAACACAACTCGACACAAATTCCTACCGTTCCTGGAGGGAGTTTCGGACACACTCCTGGCTTTGGTTTATCTGTCAAGTGTTTATATATCAGTGAATCTTAAAGGACAACCTGTATTAAATTAAAAAAAAAAAAACCTGATCCACACACTAATGAAATATAGATACCTGTAAATGGCGGTGTACACATATGTCCACATCCATTACTGCAGCATTTCTCATCATTCGGACAGTCACTGTCAGAGGAACACGACTCGACACACGCTCCTACCGTTCCTGGAGGGAGTTTGGGACACACTCCTGGCTTTGGTTCATCTGTCAAGTGTTTGTATAACAGCATATCAGTGAATGTTAAATGACCACCTGTATTAAAATAAAAACCTGATACACACACTAATATAATAAAAAATAAATAAAAATACCTTTAAATGGAGCTGTACACGCATGTCCACCACATCCATTCCTGCAGCATTTCTGATCATTCGGACAGTCACTGTCAAAGGAACACGACTCGACACACGGTCCTACCGTTCCTGGAGGGAGTTTCGGACACACTCCTGGCTTTGGTTTATCTGTCAAGTGTTTGTATAACAGCATCAGTGAATGTTAAAGGACCACCTGTATTACAAAATAAAAAACCTGATTCACACACTAATTAAAAAAAAAAAAAAAAAAAAAAAAAAAACTTTATATGGGGGTGAACACACATATCCGCATCCATTGCTGCAGCATTTCTGATCATTCGGACATTGACTGTCATAGGAACATGAATGGACACACAGTCCTACCATTCCTGCAGGGACTTTCGGACACACTCCTGGCTTTGGTTCATCTGTCATGCGTTTGTATAACAGCAGCATATCACTTAACAGGGGACTTGCCAATAAAATGTATTCATTTATAATAAAATGCATTAAAAAAAAGCTGACTCACCACACAAAAATATAATAAAAATAGCACGGCCATTCATTTTCCCTCAGAATACTACTCATTATCACTATTAGTGCTCCAAATATCATAATTTTCGTATGTTCCATTTATAGGGCTGCCACTCATTCGAAAGGAGTAATAATAAAGAAAAAGTAAACTACCATGACAATGAACACATCTTGTAACAACTGAACACACATATCTGGTACCCTGGTTCAGTACACACACAAAAATAAACAACATTTTTATCCTTCATAATTCTGTTTTCCATGCACAACTTTATTAACTTTTGCTTACAATTTACTCACCCCCATATCATCCAAGATGTCCATGTCTTTCTTTCTTCAGTCGAAAAGAAATTAAGGTTTTTGATGAAAACATTCCAGGATTTTCTCCATATAATGGACTTCAATGGAAACCAAACCGTTCAAGGTCCAAATGAGAGTTTCAGTGCAGCTTCAAAGGGCTTTAAACGACACCAGACGATGAATAAGGGTCTTATCTAGCGAAACAATTGCTAATTTCAAAAATAAATAAAAAAAAGTTTAAGTTTTATAAGCACAATTGCTCGCATTGCTCCGTTCTGTGATGACCGTTCGTGACTCTCCTGTTCGAACTTCAAAATTAACAAATCTTTTTTCATTTGTCATTTTTGAAATGGACGATCGTTTCGCTAGACAAGACCCTAATTCATCGTCTGGTGTCGCTTAAAGCCCTTTGAAGCAATGAAACGGTCATTTGGACCTTGAACCGTTTGGTACCCAATGAAGTCCATTATATGGAGAAAATCCTGGAATGTTGATCAAAAAAATTATTAAAAAAATGTTTATTAACTTCTTTTCAACTGTAGAAAGGAAGACGTGGACATCTTGGATGACATGGGGGTGAGTAAATTATCAGCAAAAGTGAACTACTCCTTTAAACTTTCTATTTAGAACTAGGCCTACAACATACAAAACGTATCTTTCACTGGACGTCTGTTGCCTACTGTAGGCATACTTAAGTTATATAAACTAATGTTCTATGATGGGCAAAAGCCATATTTTGTTCAGGTTGTTTACATATTTTTTCGCACTGTAATGAAGTTAAAAGAACTCACCCATCCAGCATACACAGGGGCACAATAAAAGAGCGAGCAACGAGTAAAGCCGAGCTGTCATCTTGAAGCCTGCGATCACACAATGGACTCTGCTGGAAACGGTCTTGAAACAGCGCTTTTAAAGACACAACTGGCGTTTTATTGGGTCGACTGATTAGCCAACCTGATTAGCTCGTTCAGGTGTGCTCAAAGCTAAGGCGTAGCCTACCGTTATTGGGCGTTTCTTCAACTAGGGGAACTTTTATCCTTGTGAAGTTGAATTAAAAAAGAGTGTTCAAAAGTGAGTCTCTTGTGTTTAATCTAATTTTGTCTAGTTTTAAGACTTAGATTACAAGAGAAATTGTTAATAGGCCCTATTTTTTTTTCCGACTTGCAATGAATGCAATTCCTAATTTTCATGCATTCAAATGCATTCCTAATTTCCAATACAGCTGTTATTTTAAAACTGATTAACTTATGCCACTCATGAATTGTCTAACATCATTTTTATAACTATTTTTATCAGTTTTTCCACAATGTAGTATACATTTGTCAATGAGATAAATGAACTGCCTAAGTACCAAATTGCTGAACTGTACACCTGTCACACTCTGAAATGTATTGGTTAAAAAATATTGGTTTGGGCAAGAGCATATTAAAGTAAATAACTTGAATTTGTATATTAAGTAGAGCATAATCTCATAAATTGTTACATTTTTAATGTGTGGTGAGAACTTTTCAATATTTGTTTTTTAAATGTGTGGTGTAAATGACAGGAGGGCGGTGTTGGAAATGACTGGGTGTTGTGGAAATGACAAATGAATTATAAACGTATAAAAACAGTAGAGATATTTATTAGAACAACTCATCACACTCATTATTCACAGAGTCATTAAACAAAACAACTTGTTTTAGAGTCCTGCTTTGAAGTATGAAACTGATTTGTCTCACAGATTAATTGTGGCAATGCATACTTAAGTCAAAATAGATGCAAAATTAAATCAATCAATATTGAAGTAATATAATTTACAAATAAAAATAATTTCATATTCCATCCATCTTCTCCCGCTTATCCGGGGCTGGGTCCAAAATTACCGTATAGAGAGGAGGGGAAGCTCATTTGCAATTGGGGGAATGTGGAGGCATAAAGTCAAAGGAGATGGCCGTAGAGAGTCATAAAGTTGCTCCTGCTGTGAGCTCATGGACAGCTAATGCTCACGCTCTCCGTCTCTGTGAGATTCGGAAGGGAATGATTCAGATTCCTCATGGCACAGCTACTAGAAGACGTACAACTGTCAGAACGGTTGCTCACATCACATCTACATCGTCAAGCTCAGTTTGAGCCTGCACACAGTGAGACCTATTAAGTCCTGTTGTACCGAATGTTGATTGCAGTTCCACTGAGGGCGATCGCCCGAGTGCAAAATGAATGGGAGTCTATGGAGCTAGACGTCTAAATTTGTCTCGTTCACTCGATTGGCGTTGGGAAATCTCAAATTTGATTGTAGGTTTTTAAAGATCAACATGGGTTGTAGGTCGAAAGTTGAATGAACGAGTATTTGTCCATTCGATTTCTTACAGGTTAAGTTGTTGTTGCTCATAACACGCTAATGGACGCTGATTGGTCAGTGAAGAACTGATTATGGCCAGAGATTTGCTTGATGGTGTAAGGCCGTCTAAATTGATCCAATGGCGGCACTCGATTAGAAATGAGAGAAGGTCTCACACGACACGTGTTCCGTCTCTTCTCAAGGGGTTTTTGATTAAATGCAATACATTTTATCTTATGTATTAACTCGTTATTTCATCTGACTCCAGAAATGAAAAGGTTTTCAATGATATCTGAGCATCATTAAATCTAGTTGATAGTTGTTCAAATTAAAACCATATAGATTCTTGTGTGGGTGATCTCTGCAAGAGTAGGGAATGCGGGGTCGGAGTTTGTGTGTGAGAGGTGTTCAAATGTTCATTTGCAAGCAAGGTCCTTCATCTCAGACCTGTGGTGAGGTGGATCTCTTCAACCAGATCTTCCAGTCTAACAGATACCTCCTTGACCCCGTGGGTCACATTCAGACACTTTCGGGGTGGGGTCACAATAAGACATCGGTCGTGATTTTTGAGATGTAACTCAACAAGTGTCTTTGTAGAAGCTCAGAGGGCTTTGTTCACTTGCAGAACACCCGTTCTCACCAGGTGTTTAGCTTGAGTTCTTCCAAGGTGTCTGTATGTGTGAGAGGTGTTCAAATGTTCATTTGCAAGCAAGGCCCTTCGTCTCAGACCTGTGGTGAGGTTGATCTCTTCAACCAGATCTTCCTGTCTCACAGATACCTCTTTGACCCCGTGGGTCACATTCAGACACTTACAGGGTGGGGTCACATTATTGAGATGTAACTCTACAAGTGTCTTTGTAGAAGCTCAGAGGGCTTTGTTCACTTGCAGAACACCCGTTCTCAGCAGGTGTTTAGCTTGAGTTCAGCATGATGAACGGGCTCAGGCTTTCTTCCTGTGGTTCATAGAGTCAATCTGGCCCTTTTGACTTGTTCATTTGATGTTCAATTCAATTCAAATTTATTTGTGTAGCGCTTTTCACAATACATATTGTTTCAAAGCAGCTTTACAGAAAGTGCATTTCAGAAATGTAAATGGAGTAAATGGAAAAAATACAGTTAGTTGATCATGTAATAATTTAGGGCATAACATGTCGCCGGCGTTGAGTTGTCTCTTCACAGCCGTTGAGTCGTCTCATCGCAGGTGTTGGGGCATCTGAAGTATCCATGTGTCATTTCTTCATGGAGAAACCTCTGCTTCTGTTCCCCATGACGATAATCTGTCCCTTCTTGACCAATCCTGTCACCCTCAGTGGGCGAAGGGGTTCTCATTGGTTTCACTCTGAACAGTGACACCTGAAAAACTGAAAAGTCATGTCATATTCAATATAAAATATCATGTTCATGTCGGAAAGTGCGATTGGTACATTTGGTCTCATGTGTTTTTAAAGGTCCTGAAAGGTAAGGTGGTCTCATTTTAAATATCTAATTCTTCATTACCACTGTGAGGAAGTCTGGATAACGCCAGACCACGTATCATTGAGAATGAAACGTGGTCTGGAAACCACATGTTGCACATGCCTCTCATATTTGAGGCGAGGTTTACGAATGCCCAGAGCTGTATTATTGGGTGCTACGAATGTCTATCAAATGCGCCTGTACGTAGCTCATAGCCAATGGGGTCAATGACACCAGATGATGTATGCAGAGCGACCAGGAAAAAGACGATGGGTTAGAGATTTAGGAGATTTAACGTAAAACTTCTAATAATAGCCGTGTTCCAAATAGACGCCTGTCTCTTTTACACGTCTGGTGTGACTACAGGTTTGGGTAAATAAAAGCCGGTCTCTATTACCTTTACGGGCGAGAGTTGCATGTGTTGTTCATGTCAAATGTACATGATGGTGTCGATACTGCTGTATCAGTATGAGCCAGAATCAGACCCAGTGTTCTAAACTCCCCACCACCATTATAATACTACTAGTATTGCTAAGGTTTTCAGTAATTGTTATTGCAGCACGCAGCGCATCTTGTTCAAATTCCGATCGGCTCGAACAGAAACCTCGAACAAGAAATATAATTACTTTGACCCGTGATAGGCGATGCTAAACGGCTAACAATCCAATGCCGACTGGCAGCATGAGCAAGTTGTCAAACTGATAAAAAGCCATGTAACACGTCACACCATAAAAGAATAAATAAATGTTTACCTGCTCAACAAAAAGTCATCCTTGTCAGCGTCGTTTTCAGTCCCAGATCTCCCTGAAGCTTTCTCCATTGGTCAATGAAGGATGCTATATTTATTCTACTTAGTTAGAGTCCGGAGTTCTTCACATTTCTTTTTAATCTCTGATCTTTCCTCCACAGACTTTCTCTTTCGTACAAACTTTACAGTAGGGGCAAGCAGGGGCCGCTTGCGGTTGTCGTTTATATTTTTATCCATTGCTTTATCCATTGCTGATCTGACGCTACTAGCTAGCTACCATAGACAGTCTGTCAGCTGTTTGCTCGCGCACGGAGGGGGGCGGGTGCGGTTGGGTTGAAGACGCGAGCGCCAGGCGGAGTTTCAAGTGGAGCTGGTAATTGGATGAGAGCAGTTGCGGGCGCACAGCTTACATTGGTCAACTTTTCTGCGGCTGTACAGCCAATAGAGTGAATGGATTTTTTTTCGTTCTTTTTTTCTATTCATATTGTTAGGATTGTACTATATAACCATAACCAGCATCTAAACGAGGATATTAATAATTAACAATCTTTGAAATCGTATACCCTAGCTTTAAAGTTCTTCCAAAAATGAAAATTCTGCCATCATTTAACTACTTACCTTCATGTGTAAATCCTTAAGTTTACTTTCCGTGGAAGACAAGGGGACGTTTTTGAATATGTGGTCTAATCTTGTCGATGTAATGAAAGTGAATGAGTAACATTAGCCTACTGGGGGTTGTCACGCAAAAATAATAAAGACAAAACACATCATAAAAGTGATCTAATACGACGTCAGATAGCACAAGGGTATTTGATGTCCTATTTACATCTGGAAGACGTATTTTTAAGAGTGTTTGCTCATCTGCAAGACGTCTATTGGACGTTTCCTGTCAGATGTCAAATAGACGTTTATAAGATGTCAGTTTAACATGCATTCTAAATCATTACATCTTAGAGACATCTTCTAAACGTCTATTTGACATTTGCAGGAAACGTCCTATAGACGTCTTGCAGATGAGCAAACACTGTTTAAAATACGTCTTCCAGAAGTAGGAGATCAAACAGCCTTGTGCTATCTGGATATTAATATCGTTATTTATTAATATGATAGCTTTATGTGACTGACAAACTGCAATTTAAGTCGTTATATTATAATCACTGAAGACAGAGCTTTACCTCTTTATAGCTTTTAATCGCAGCCAAATCATTCAAAAAGATTTGACTCAAAAGACTCATTTTGATATTTGTGATTATTACACCTTCTCTGTAACTGAACATCTGTTCTTTCGCACAGATATGGATAAAAGATTTCGCACAGTCTTTTATGATATTTGACTGATGTATCTGACTGTGCTGATGCAGGTGTCTCTCTCTGTGCCAGTGCTGCTGTTCGGATTAGAACGATTCATTCATGCCAGCCGAACTGCTGCAGAAGATTCATTCATGACATCGCCTCGACTCTCATTAACGCGTGTCATAGGTTTAATGACTTATGTATTTCTATTTCATGAAAGGCCAATTGGGGCAAATAATAATGGACTAAAGAAAACTGGGGGTAACAAATCAGGATCAGAGCCTAAAATTTAAATTTTCTCCATATATCTCCGTCTCTCTCTCATTCAAATATCAGTTTGGGCGGCCGTACCGGGCGAGTCGGTCGCAAATATGGCGGTGTTCTATTTTTAGTGACGTAGGTGGCATCTATGAATACCTAATTTCACAAAAACTACACTGCCTTTAACGCAGATCATTCCCCACCCCAGACCACCAAAGTCTAGTATTTCTCTAGCGCACCTTTGCATTTCAACAACATCAATACACTGAGGAACTGCAGCACTCCCTCAGCTTCGTCCCATCTATAGTCAAACTGCACCCTCTGTCTTTGCCGGTGGGCCTAATCGATCATGAATGACAATGACTCTAATGACAGAGCGAGGGCTACCGTCCTGTTTTTCTGCTTTTAAGAATTTTTCGGAATACATCCAGCCCCAGTGTTCTCCACTTCAAAGGTCATTAGTCAGACATCAGGACTTGAGTCCCAAAATAAAAACATGGAGCCTTTCAGTATTTCTCATTTCTAACAATTTATTTAAAGTCTCTCAAAACTATTTAACTCATACAAGTAATTGGAAAGCCATTAAGTACACTTTTGCTCCCAAGCTCATGTAGAATTATTTATTTAAAACAAAAAAACAAAAATTACACGTTTTTTACTAGACATTTTTATTTGTTGAGAAGTCAAGTATGGTATGCAAAAAAAAAAAAAAAAAAAATCTCAGAGGACTCTTTCCGATGGCTAAATCATCAGCACAGGTGGTCGGGCAACACTTCTGTCTGGCAGGACATTGGCCATCATGGCTCTACTTCTCGGCAAAAAGGCGAATGCGGTCCCAAACATCTACTAGGCGTCACTGCATGGATACAAATATTCAGCTTTAGTCTGTGCATTTAGCGTCATTCAATTTAAGAAACAGCACAAAATAGGAACAACTTTAACTTGGAGCAAGTTGTATTTCAAGTATTATGAATCTTTATTTCGTAAAGCGCAGTTTTGAATTGGTGCTATGGGCTAAATTCATGTACTTCGATTTTATCACTCGGTGCAAATCTAAAGTAGAAACAAGTGTACAAATTAAATGTTAGTATGCTGCATATCAGATCGTATGAATGATCATACGTTGATAAGTGGCGGCTGTAAACAATCGGTAATATCACGGCCCTAAACATTCATGGTTTTGGAGCCTCATCTCGAGTTTACGCCACGGAGAAAATGTAACCTGGCCAAAGAAGTTATCCTTGCTCAAATCCATTAACCTCATAGGAAACATTTTACTTATTAAATGTATTTACATAATTTAATAGAATTTATATTTATATTCAATACCGGTGAGAAAAACTAAACGTTCACAAACATTAGAAACAATAGCCTAGTGTTATTTACCCCTCACTCAACGAATCCTTTAAATTTAACGGTATTTAAAACAGGAAAATAAGTAGCTATGAATTATATATTAAACTAGGCTATAAAATAACACAAATTTGGCTATGGTGGCTTATATACAGTATATATATAAAAAATAAAAGTACCACATTGCCGTCCACATCTAGTGCGGCAGCATTTGTCTTCATCCGGACAGTCACTGTCAGAGGAGCATGGCTTGTTGCACTCTCCAAGTCCAATGAATTTCCTTGGACACACTCCTGGCTTTGGTTCATCTGCGTTTGCAGAACATTAGATCAATTATTATATCAATTCTTTCTGCTTCAGGGATATTGTTTGGACACACTCCTGGCTTTGGTTTATCCGTTTATCAGTCAAGTGTTTGTAGAACAGCAGATCAGAGAATGTTAAACGACTTCCTGTATTAGATAAAAACCTGATCCACACATTAATAAAATAAAAATACCTTTAAATGGAGCTGAACACGTATGTCCACATCCATTACTGCAGCATTTCTCGTCATTCGGACAGTCACTGTCAGAGGAACACGACTCGACACAAATTCCTACCGTTCCTGGAGGGAGTTTCGGACACACTCCTGGCTTTGGTTCATCTGTCAAGTGTTTGTATAACAGCATCAGTGAATGTTAAAGTACAACCTGCATTTAAAAATAAAATACCTGATCCAGACACTAATAAATAAAAATACCTTTAAATGGAGCTGAACACATATGTCCACATCCATTGCTGCAGCATTTCTCATCATTCGGACATTGACTGTCAGAGGAACACCACTCAGCACACAGTCCTACCGTTCCTGGAGGGACTTTCGGACACACTCCTGGCTTTGGTTCATCTGTCATGCGTGTGTATAACAGCAGCATATCACTTAACGAAGGACTTGCCAATAAAATGTATTCATTTATAATAAAATGCATTAAAAAAGCTGACCCACCACACAGCAATATAATAAAAATAGCACTGTCAATTGTCAGTCATTTTCCCTTTGAAAATGCAATTAACCAAAGACTGACTCAAAAGCTTTTTCTTTTTTTTTAAAAAAATAAACTAGTTTGTGTTTAACTTCACAGACAACCTTGCTGGTGGACAAAGTGCTGGTGGGCTTTAACATAATTAACACCAAACTATCAGGGGATCTTGATAAGCTATTTATCCAGGTGTTATGAAAATTGGGGATATTTAGCAATATAGCTGGTGTGTGATGTATATTATGATGAATAAGAAGGCTTTCTCCAATAAATACCTTTATATGGAGCTGTACACTGAAGTCCACATCCATTGCTGCAGCATTTCTCATCGTTTGGACACTGGATGTCATGAGAACATGACTCGACACACACTCCTGCCACTCTCACTGAAATGACATCACTTGGACACACTCCAGGCTTTGGTTCCCCTGTGTTTGAATAAACAGCATATCTGTGAGTGCTGAATGACTCACTTTATTTTTTATATCTGATCCATACACTAATATAATAAACCAAATACCAAGGTATGGAGTTGTACACCGACGTCCACATTCATTTTCGCAGCATTTCTCATCCCCCAGACAGTCATCGTCACGGAAACAAATTTCACCACCACACACATCATATCCGTCTGTGCTTGGACACACTCCTGGCTTTGCTGTTATTCAAACACATGACCATACAGTAATGGGCTGAGTCTTAATTTAAGAATCATGGTGAAGTAAATTTCACTAAAATTATAATTTTTTGATCAAAAGGTTAGAACCATTTGAAAAGTGAATCTTTGAAATGGTGGTGGCACTATACAGTTGGTCTATAGACTCCAAAATTGGTCCAAATACTACTAATTATCACTATAAGTGCTCCAAATATCATAATTTCCATATGTTCCATTTATAGGGCTGCCATAGACTCCCATTCTAAAGGAATAATAATAAAGAAAAGTAAACTACCATGACAATGACAATGAGCACATCTTGTAACAACCGAGCACACATCTGGTACCCTGGTTCAGTACACGCACAAAAATAAATAACATTTTTATCCTTCATAATTCTGTTTTCCATGTACAACTTTTATTAACTTTTGCATATTTTACTCACCCCCATATCATCCAAGATGTCCATGTCTTTTTCTTCAGTCGAAAAGAAATTAAGGTTTCTGATGAAAACATTCCAGGACTTTCTCCATATAATGGACTTCAATGGAAACCAAATGGTTCAAGGTCCAAATGAGAGTTTCAGTGCAGCTTCAAAGGGCTTTAAACACCAGATGATGAATATGGGTCTTATCTAGCGAAACAATTGCTCATTTAATAAATAAATAAAAAAAGTTTACATTTTATGAGCACAAATGCTCGCCTTGCTCTGTTCTGTGATGAGCGTTCATGACTCCTGCAGTGTTGGGCAAGTTACTCTAAAAAGTAATTAAATACTAGTTACTAATTACCTCTTCAACAGTGTAATTAGATTACTGTACTAATTACTCTCTCTAAAAAGTATTTAATTACTTTCAAAATTCCATATCAATCTCAACCAGCTGAATAATACAAGGATAGACATGAATCTGTTTGAACTCTCCAAATAAATACTATAAAATTGCATGAATTATCCTTAAACTGACCAAGGTGGAGAAGATTACATGATAAAAATATACTTTAACATCAGACAATACATTTGGATGTTAAACCCACTATTGTTTTATGTCTGATCTCATGACATTTCACACTTTTTTTTCATACATATTTTTCAATAATTCATAAAAATCTGTACGAGTGTGGTCGTACAATTTAGACACCTCATAAAATGCATGCGAATCGCTGTGAGATCGGATTGATCTATACACATTTACCTCAATTACATCAGAAGTAACTGTAATTAAATTACAGATAAATTAAGAGTAATCCCTTACTTTTCATTTTCAAGGGAAAAGTAATTAAATTACAGTAACTAATTACTTAGTAATTAGTTACACAATTATTACTTAACTAATTACTTAGTAATTATTGAAATGAACCCCCCCAATTTTTGAAATGAACGATCGTTTCGCTAGATAAGACCCTTATTCATTGTCTGGTGTCGCTTAAAGCCCTTTAAAGCTTTGATGCAATGAAACGGTCATTTTGACCTTGAACCGTTTGGTGCCCAATTAAGTCCATTATATGGAAAATCCTGGAATGTTTTCATCAAAAACCTTAATTTCTTTTCGACTGAAGAAAGGAAGACGTGGACATTTTGGATGACACGGGGGTGAGTAAATTATCAGCAAACGTGAACTAATCCTTTAAACTTTTTATTTAGAACTAGGCCTACAACATACAAAAATGTAACTTTCACTGGACGTCTGTTGCCTAACTGTAGGTATACTTATAATAATGTTCTATGAGCCATATTTTGTTCAGGTTGTTTACATATTTCTTCGCGCTGTAATGCAGTTAAAAGAACTCACCCCTGTATCGATCATCGACGTTTCTTACGCTCCAGCATACACAGGTACACAATAAAAGAGCGAGCAACGAGTAGTAAACTCGATATGTCATCTTGAAGCCTGCGATCACACAATGGACTCTGCTGGAAACGGTCTTGAAACAGCGTTTTTAAAGACACAACTGGCGTTTTATTGGGTCGACTGATTAGCCAACCTGATTAGCTCGTTCAGGTGTGGTCAAAGCAAAGGCGTAGCCTACCGTAATTGGGCGTTTCTTCAACTAGGGGAACTTTTATCCTTGTGAAGTTGAATTAAAAAAGTGTTCAAAAGTGACTCACAGTCTCATATGTTTAATCTAATTTTGTCTAGTTTAAAGACAAACTTCGATTACAAGAGAAATTGTTAACAGGCCCTATTTTATTTTATTTTCCGACTTGCAATGAATGTAATTCCTGATTTTCATGCATTCAAATGCATTCCGAATTTCCAATACAGCTGTTATTTTAAAATTGAAACTTATGCCACTCATGAATTGTCTAAGATCATTTTTATAACTATTTTTTATCAGTTTTTCCACAATTATACATTTGTCAATGAGATGAACTGCTTAAGGACCAAATTGCTGAACTGTACACCTGTCACACTCTGAAATATATTGGTTAAAAAATATTGGTTTGGGCAAGAGTATATTAGAAAGTAAATAACTTTTTGTATATTAAGTAGAGCATAATCTCATAAATTGTTACATTTTTAATGTGTAGTGAGAACTTTTTAAATATTTTTTAAAAATTTGTGATGTAAATGACAGGAGGGCGGTGTTGGAAATGACTGGGTGTTGTGGAAATGACAATGAATTAATGCGGACGTATAAAAACAGTAGAGATATTTATTCGAACAACTCATCACACTCATTAAACTCCATTCACAGAGTCATTAAACATAACCACTTGTTTTGGAGTCCTGCTTTGATGTATGAAACTGATTTGTCTCACAGATTAATTGTGGCAATGCATACTTAAATCAAAATAGATGCAAAAAATCCAGTCTCACAGATACCTCCTTGATCCCATAGGTCACATTCAGACACTTACGGGGTGGGGTCACAGTAAGACATTTGTTGTGATTATTGAGATGTAACTCAACAAGTGTCTTTGTAGAAGCTCAGAGGGCTTTGTTCACTTGCAGAACACACGGTCTCACCAGGTGTTTAGCTTGAGTTCAGCAAGATGAACGGGTTCAGGCTTTCTTTCTGTGGTGTGTTGTGTGAGTGTGGGTGATCTCTGCAAGAGTGGGGAATGCGGGGACGGTGTGTGTGTGTGAGAGGTGTTCAAATTCTCATTTGCAAGCAAGGTCCTTCATCTCAGACCTGTGGTGAGGTTGATCTCTTCAACCAGATCTTCCA